CAGTTCCAACTTGCACGCACTTTACCCATGAGCAGGACTAGATTCTCCTCATCAAACTTCTCTACGATATTTTCATGATCACTACACTGTGTTCATTGCTTTTTCGTCCCTTGCCTATTGTTCTGATTCATGGACTCCCATAACTGAAAAAATAACGTTGTCCTTGGGAACATCCATTAAAATTGGAGCGATACAGAGAAGATTAGCACGGCCCCTGCACAAGGCTGAGAGAGAAGAGGAGGGGGGAGGGGGGGGGAGGGAGGGGGGGGGATCTTGTTCAGAGAGCTCAGACATCGGACCAAAAATCTGGTAAGGGAAGCCCAAGTGCACACCGGACTACCATATGTGATCCTACCGGCGGCCACCACCCGAGGAGGAACATAAAAATAGAAATAAATTTAATAAAAATAAGAAAAGAGGATCAAGGGCAGTTTAATAATAAGAGAAAAATCAGCGGCCTAGCTCAGTTGGTAAGGCATGCAAGTGGCATTCAGGAGGACTTGGGGTTCAATCCCCATTGGCCTTATGTAGCTTCCTGGGCATGCTTGGCGCCCACCACGTAGAGATAGCCCCTTGGTCCTCCCAATTGGCATTAAAAAGCAGTCCCAGCTGATGTGCTTAGGGGGGTCAGGGGTAATCAGGGAGGCACAGCGACTGGCCACTCAGATGATGCTCGGTCCCTCTGCTACCGGCTGTCCCCTGGCCGGTGTCTCCCCCCCCATTGGGGGTTCCCTGAAGGCAATATATAAAGCCCACCCTGGGCTGAAAAGGCCACCCAGTCGGTGTCAGATTAGACACAAGATTGAATTTACCTGGGCTGGTTAGTCCGATGATAATACCTCAAGGCCATCGCCCTTTAAAAATAAATTAAAAAAAAAAAAAAAAAAAAGAGGATAACGTTAGTGAGATATACGTCTTACGGGGCATAGCTTTTGGCTGAGTCAAAGTTATAGGGTCAAACTTCGGTCCCAGAGCCTCTGTAGAGGGGTCAGAAAGTCAGTAGGGTTAATAGGMCTGGGGCCAAGGGTCAAAACGGGGCACGAGCCTCTGTAGAGGGGTCAGAAAGTCATTAGGGTTAATAGGACTGGGGCCAAGGGTCAAAACGGGGCACCCAGGGGCTCTAGAAGCAAAATCAGACCCTACCGTCTCCCCCTGAATAGAACATACGCTCACTTTAGCTGGCACTTCGAGCAACTTTCAGTCAAGATAGAGCGATAATGACCGTACAATGCGGCGTACATTCTATTCAAAAGGTCAACAGTCAGGTCCATGCTAATCTTCTGTGTATCATTCCAACTTTAACAGATGTCCCTCAGCTCACGATACTTTTCAACCTTTTTTTTCTTTGTTTTTTCTGAGTACAGAATGAACGAGCACGAACAATCGCTGACGTGGGCCCGCTGAAATATTTGCACCCTGACGAGAATTGGGGCCCCCGTCGGTCGTAGGCCAGACTTTCCTGCAGTGGCCGCAAGTACTGCTCCACGCCTCGGACGGCGTTCAGAAGCAGTGGCAGTGGTGGTTTAAAGTAACTTTAAACTTCAAACATGGCCCTTCGCAGCTGTGTCTTGCGGCTGTAGAAAATTTGTGAATTTCGGAGCCTTGGCAGTGATGCCACCACAAAATTGCCAGCTGCAAAAGGGGTCACTTATCCGGGACTCTGGGGGTCAAGGCGGGGGGAGAGGGGCAGGGGGTTGTGGGGGAGGGAAGCTGTACCTTTTTTATGTGAACAGCCGTAGATTGCTGGCGTCATCAGATGAAAGAACCTGCTACTGCCAAACATTGCAACTGTCCATTGCAACTGACCATGCCCACATTATTACTGCCAAAAGTCAAAATTTTTCAGATCGACCAAATAAATGTACATCGCACCTGTCCATGCCCATAATGTGGGAAGTCTCTCCATCGCCATAAAACAAGATACTGCCCTCGACCGACAGACGAAGCGTGAAAAAACGAAGTCAGTCACTACATATGCCTCAATGCAAAGTAAAGGCCACTCAGCATGGCCCAAGTATTTCCTGCTTCCAGCAACTGTGCAGTCAAGCAACAACAGTCAGTCACACACCAGTTCAGCAACCACAAAATGCCCGATCTCAAATGCCCAAAGCTGTTATAAACTCCAACATGAACTAGCTGTGAAGTGCTAGTCACAGCCCCTGCAAACTACACATTTCAACACCTGGGACACTGGGACACATGGGACACTGGGACACCTGGGAACTGCAGACCTCAACGACCATCAGTCACACAGATTGATAGACAACGACTGCCGATCGCAACATCTTCAGATCAGATCGGAGGTATCGATGACCAGCAGGCAGTTGGAAGTCCTTTCCTTCTCTGTCGGCCTCGCTCCACTACTCGCCACATGCATGGAAGACAAAAAATATGACGGTGTATACTTGCATGTTCTGGCGGAAGATTCCTTCCCATTTTGCACGTGTGGTGAGTAGCGGAGTGAGGCTCTTTGTGTCTGAGCATGTAAATGAAAATTGACTGGCGTTACGCATGACCAGCAGTTAAAGTTTGCTTCTCTTTGTGTCTCAGCATGCAACTGACACCTGCAGCAGGTGATGACGACGCTATTTTTTGAAACAACGTTCGCAAGCCGGACCTTGCGTGCAGCTTCCAACCTCGCATCACCAATTCTCAGAGCAGCGGGGAAAGAAAACCCCGTTTGAGGAAGGATGAATCGCTACAGCGCCCTAAGCCTGTCAATTCCTACCTAGTGCACTACTGGCAGGGGAGCATCGGCTGAGGAAGGAGGAAAGCAGACAGATGTTGTGGATATCGAGAACGACTGACGACTTGTCTCTTAAAACTATTCGATGAATTTCTAACGACTTTCTCCTTCTTCAAGGGGACAAAGAAAATGGATTAATGATCCTACATCCATAGCGTGGGGCCACATCGAACACGATCGTAAGAACACAACTAAATGGCTTCTGAGGAACAGCCTCTTGACGCATTGCCTGACAGCGAGCGGACCTGTTATGGAAACTCATGAACTCACATCCTCCACAGCATCGGTTGAAGTGACATTACCTTCGGGAGTGCGAACAGACTGGAGCCAACTATCCACTCTGCAGCTCAAGCAAACTGCACGACTGCTGGGCAGAGAAGGAAAGACATGCATGCCCACGAACAGCAGCGCAGACGGTAACAGCACCACAGGTCATGTGCACGTGGGCACCAACCACTCTGCAGCT